TTTATTTTTTTTTTTTTTTTTGGGGGGGGGGGCGGGGATAGAGAAAAAGAACTAAACACCTTAGTGAATGCCAAATTACCAAACACAATATAAGCAGCAAGAAAGCAAACAAAAATGTTCAACTTCTCCACTAGGACAAGGGGCATGAGGGAATGGCAAGTGGAGGCGAGGTGTTTTTATTTTTCCAATTCTTGTCTACATCAATGATCCACCTCATATTCCGTGTGTTACGGAACCATCTTCACATGCAGCCTTTTTATAATTGGTATGTTACAAATCAGGCCTCAAAAACGTAGAGGGAACATATTATAGCTAAAACACCTCTGAGTGGATATCATTAACAAAAACGGACCAACCTGAAGGAGCGTCTCAAATGCATCTTTACGAGAATGTATTATGCTCGCTTATCCCATTAGATGAACTGCAGCATCAGATACTGAAGGGGACTCAAAAGAATTCTTACTTACACAGACCATACCCTCCCACAACAAAAAAACAAAATAAAAAAACAACTACAAACAGAACAAAAATTCCCCCCATTTCATTGCAACATGCATCTTAACACAAGCCACTTGTCAGCTGAAGCCAAAAAAATTCAATCAAAACCAAAAAGTTTTTTTGAAAGATATTCCAGTTCTGAGTTGGACTAGGGATCCATAGTCCTCTGTCTATCTTTTATTGGTCGTCAAAATTCTTCGGAAGCCATGGTCAATCTCTCAAACGACATATTTCAGAGCAAGGGTTTTAACCAGTATTTTGAAATAGGCCATAGAATAGTATCACTGTATTAGTGGGAGGGGGAGGGGGCTTCTGCTAGAACAGATTAAATAACTGCGCGACAGCTCACAGGCTTGACCCTCATTTCTAGGTGATAACGGTGCTGTATAAGTAAGCTTAAGGACATCTGATAAATCAACATGCTATGGCAATTATATATATAAAATACACATGATTATATATTCTTTAATAGAAAGCACAATAATATACATATTTACAAACTGCTTTGGAGCATTCAGTCATTTTATATCACTTTTAACAAATTGTAATACTTCAATTTTCTACAAAAAATGAAGGGAAAAATAACAACAACAATAACAACAACAATAACAGTAAAAACTTGCATAAAATCTACAAAAAGAATTGTTTCATATTGATCTACAAGACGTCTACTGAATATTTAAATAAGTTGATCTAAGAGACATCTAGTGAGCAGTAAGAATATTTAGGTGTAGAATAGATGGTCTGGAGGCCTCCCTGTTCCACAAAAAAGCAAGCAAGATTTAAAGACTTACTTCTCCTTTTTAATTCAATTAACATTTCTTTATCTTAAACCCAACCCCAAAATGCAAATCATTGATTTTAGAAAATCTTTCTTGAAAAGTTGCAACTTGGGAGGGGCAGTCTCACGTATGAAATGGTCTAAAAACTATCACCGAACTGACATTTTTAGTCCATTTTCTAAGCTAACCTTTGTGACAAAGAGAGCATTATCTAGGCAACCTAGACGTCGGCCTATACTAAAGGTATTGATGATTAGCTAAAGTGAGACTGTATACCTTTTTTTTTTTCTTTTTTTTTTTTTTTTGTGAAACAGGGGGCCCTTTGTGTTGAAGATTACAGACAAACTATGTTGATTACATTCTTCATAAATATCCTCCTATCACCAGAATTAAACACTTAACTAGACAACAGTTATTACACAACAATAAAACGTCAGGAGAAATCTGTTGGGATTATCTGTCTGATATTATCTGTTTGAGATGATCCGTTGATTAATCTGAGTGATAACACTACAAAAGACCTTTTAAGGTTTCTAGTGGGATGAGGAAGTAGTGAGTGAAAATAGAAACTGAATTCAAATTGTTTTAGTCTGTCTTTAAATTAGAAATGATGGCCAATGCAATGTAAATAAACATTAAAGAAGTTGAATATGAAAACCTTCTGAATTAAATTCAGGATAAGACAAGTTGTCAGTGGTTGGAGGAAGTGAACAGATGGTGGCGCCGCCCTGGTGTTGGAATCTTACCCATATCTTCACCATTGCCATTGAAAGTATCATGTAATTTCTCACAACGAATATTGCTACTAAACATTTGCTTTTCCAAAAGCCATCTCTTTCAAAAGCAGACTGATGACTCCGAGTAAGCTAAATTGAGTCAACTTTCAAAATTTCCCCCCCTCTCAGTCTATTTTGTTATCTTGCTTTTGATCATGCCATTCTCTGCATGCACTTTTACTTTTTCAACATCTTAATTTCATTTCTTTACTCAATTGATTTTAACTTTATTTTTTGAAAGGAACATATTGTCGTGTTGACATACCATGGTTCAGGTAGCAACCAGACTTGTTTGAATCGCTCCTTCCAGTTTAAATCTTGCCTTAAATTGTTATCAAAACGTTGGCTTGTGATTGATCCCCCACAACATTATCTAATCATTCTCATTAAAATCCATTCTTCAACTTGTAAATGAACATATTCTCTCCTTTACAAAGAAACATTTTTTTCGTTCTTGCCTCAAATTCTTAATTCTTCCTCTGTCCAATCAATCAGCTGCGTTTGTCGTTTCCATTTCTTTTCTTATTTTTACCTACCCTGCACGAAAAAACAACTATTTTCTTTTTCTTACCCTTCCGCCGTACTGTATTTTAGGAGGTGGTAACACGCGTCCCTGGACCTCCGTCATACGGTAATTAACACTGAGCCCAAACAGCTGGAGGTGCGGGTCCTGATTGAAGTCCGCTTTACGAACCTGGGGGTGCGATTTGGTACACAAGACACAGAGGTTAGAATATAATGTGCAGAGTATTGCTAGTAGTAAGTGGTGGTAGTAGAGCCGTACTCTAACAAGTACTAGTTCTAGTACTATCGGTCAGTGAGTGAGTGAGTTGCAATCGAGCTGCAGCCCTGTAGCTACGTGAAAGGAATCCTTTCTCTCCGCCTGTTTGGATTCTAACTCCCCCTACATACGCAAAAAGGGGTCTGAAAAGTCTAAAATCTCGCAGGTCAAGGGGCTGAAAATTCATTCATATGAGTCAGTCAGGTTTCGTATAGAGTACTTATGGAATTTAGGACCCCTAAACGTGATCAGTAGGTCTGAAATCCGTATTAGTCCTCTACTATCAGAACCTATAGCAGAGCAGTCCCTGCAGCTAAGGCTGGCAATGCTGGTGTTGGTAGTAAGTAGATGGTGGCGCCGCCCTATTGGTGAAGGACAGACGCAAAGGCGAAAAATGGCGGCCATGACAGTTTGGACGCCATGGTGATTAGCAAGCGGTGTAAGTAGAGTGTCGACGCTGCCTGTCTGATCTGATGTAATCTTCCAGAAAACACAACATACTTCAGTTCTATTTGTGTATATTTCACAATGAACATATCAAGATCTACTTCTGAGTTTTCGAACTGCAGTTTTGTCCCGTGTTCTACTAAGCAAGACTGACACGTGTGGATTCTAGAGAGAGAACATGATCAGAGAGACATAGTCAACCAAGAGATTTCTGCCAGCAATTGCACAGGCTCACTTGTACGCAGATATCAACCCGTTATGCTGTACAAAATATTTTTTTGTGTTTGGGTTCGCTTATAAAGAATATAAAGAGGGACAAAATTTTATTCTTCCAATTTTGAGAATTTTTCTTGCAGTCATTTTTATTTCCAAAGGAAAATTTCCATATCACTGATGTAATAGTCACAAATGGTCCACCAGTAGCCTTGGCTTGTTTTGGATTATAACTGATGAGCTTTGAGCAAGTGCCAGCAGTGACCTCTAGTGTCCTACCGAGTGAGCCCCAAAACTACGGTTGACACACACACAAAAATAAATAAATAAAAAACAGCACAAAAACAACAACAACAACAACATGAAAAAAAATTAAGGAAAAAAAAAAAGACACCGCATATGAGCCCACTCGTTTGAGACAACATCTTACATCAAGATGGCTGCCTACCCTGCCGCCATATTGCAGTTTGGGCGCCGGCAACACTCGGCCTTGTACTTCGACCATTTGCGGGTTCACCGTGACCCCGAACGTTTGAAGGAACAGATCATTTTTGAAGTCTGCCTTGCCAACCTAGACAATAGTAGTGGAAAAGTAGCATTAGTGGGACTTCTTGCTTAAAAGCAGACAACACTTAACAGTGGCTCCATCTGGTGGTATCATGCAGTGGCTCCTAGGATGTAACAGTTTATCAAATCACATTTATTACTACTAAGTACTTTTCTATGAATAGAAGTTGCCCAAAAGTCCAAACCTTGTCAAATTCTATTCTTACAGTGAATTTTTTTTAATTTTTGATTTTTTGTAGAATATTCTTTCAATCTTTTAAAACATGTGCCATGCCTGCCGCTTTAAAATTTTTTCGTGATAACTTAAAATATGTACAATAGTCTATTATATGACAGTTTGAAAACAAAACTCGAATACTATTCTTGAATATATCACAAAAAAATGAGATGTCCAAAATATTTTATCTTTTTACCTAAGAAATACCCTACCCAAAAGGTAATATAATGAAGCATGCCAAAAGAATTCCATCAATTTAAAAATCTAACAAAAAAATCTAAATTTGAAATAGCAGCAACAGATCTACATGTAACATCGCCATTTAGGCCAGCAACATCGACAGCAAGCAACAATAAGCTGAGGACCAATCTGGAAGAAAAAGATCTCTGCAATACAAAAAGACTTTTGCATACAATATTTACAACTTGGGGGTCCCCTGAAAAAATCATATGGCAAGTGAATCAGAAATATGAGCTTAACATAGCTTTA